TCTTACCAATTCAACTCGGTCTTGTTTATTCCGACGCTATGCCTTTTTTCTAATTATTCTGAGTTATGACGGGTTTTGCGTAGTGACGTTAGCACACAGAAACACATGAGTAAAAGAGAATTAGCCAAAACTTTCTATATTTATATTTATCTAAAATATTTTATCGTTATGTATATATATTTCATGTAGGTAAGAGCCAGTCAGTCCTCTTGATTCAGCGTCAACTTGAGACTACAAGAATTAGCCCTAGTTATAATGATGTTCGGTATATGAGGATGTCTCGTCGACTACGTCAACCTGAACGTCGTATTTAAGCCAAACGGCTGCACTACTGTAGGAATCAGCCACTGTCTTCTGGTGAGATCTACCTGCGAATCTCTTCATCGTGCATTTCCATACTAAATAAAAGTCTCCAAAATATATACTTTAATTTTGCAATGGAAATATATCATTATGGTGCACTATCAGATCTTTTTGTCTGATAAAGCGTATAACACTTGGTTTGGAATATAATTTAGCTTGATACTGAAAAAATTTTGTCTTTCTGTCTCAAATGTCGCAGCATGATTTTTTTAAATCATACCATTTCATTGCAGTTTTATTTTACCCAACTGAAGGTAAGTAATCAATCTCTGTGCCTCCAGTTACCCTCCACATTATTTTTCATTCAAAATCTGCTTATCTTCACATAATATATTCTGTACTTGATCTGAATTCTAAATGATATTTCACTCATACACTATGAAAATATATTAGGCAAACTGATCCTCCGTCATTCAAATTGTTATCGTGATTGTTCTCGTTTTCATTCATGATCATTGTTGGAGCCCATATTCTAAACCTTACTTATTTCTCCTTTCTTTTTTACGCAAGTCAAATAAAAAAAGTTTTCTCTAATCTTAAATAATGTCTTTTTCATTATTTTTTTGTCATTGTATTATATCCGCTATTGTTAGTCCCTTTATGCTCAGAACGCAGGAGGTGTCTCCAGTCTCGACTTCACTTCTCATTCGCCTTCGGCAGATTCATCGGCCACCACCTCTATTCCTCTTGTCAGCGTGCCACTTGAGCCAAAAAATGTCAATATTACCGTACCTATTGATACTCAGTCTTCATCTGGAGTTGTAAGCCTCTCTGTGCCTGTCCCAGTGACTGATATAAATGTGGATGGTCCATCGGCGCCTGTTGCCGTTTATATTGGTGATTCCGCTACTGCTGCTTCTTCTGTCGACAACACTGATGGATCTGTCCCCGTTGGCGGCATAAATAAGAGTGATAATGGTGTGGGTTTGAATACTGAGCTGAGTGGAGGGATTTTGTCTCGTGGTTCTGATGTCGACATGCTGGATGCGTTACGCGAAAACTCTCGGCCAGAGGCGGTGTTTGCGTTTCCACCAGTCTCTCGACTGACTCTCAATTTTATCTCGCCCGAACTTGAAACTGCATATCGCCGATCCGGTCTCGCTCGTCCTCGGCCAAGCAACAATGCAGCTGCAGCTGGTGGTTCTGGTAGAGATGGCGGTGGGGCCATCGGCTGCAGTGTTGTCAAGTTAACTTGGGCTACATCGCGCATCACACCGCTTATCAACCTCACTACTAATTCTGTCTTTTTCTTGTGCATATTTGCTTGTTGCTTAACCGCTTATCCCAGTATTCGCACTACTGGCTCTGTCGTCTTTTTCCTTTTGAGTAGTCTCGGCTTTTTCTCTTTACTAGCTTTGTTCACCGTAATCCTAGCTGACATGTCATTCTGGATCGGTACCACTTCGGCTGCCCATCTTTGCCACCGCCGCGAACGACGTCAAAATATTGAAAAAGCGAAGACGAGCAGTCCAATCGTTTCTACGTTTCAGCGGCGTGCTGTAGCTGCGTATAGAGCTTTGTTCCGTTGGCGTACTCGCAACCTCATCGGAGCTCTTGTTCTATTTCTGCCTTCCTCACTCGTGCTGGCAAGCTTTCGCCCTTGCCTCTTTCAAAGTCAAGTTTGGGCGAACGAAACGGCTCTTGATCTGGCCTCGATTATGGTGAAAAATAAGAGTGTATTGAGTAGCTCCATTTACCTTACAAACGATCACCTCCTGCCTACCCTTTCTGTTGTCGCAGGCTACCGTACCATTACTGGCCTGTTTTGTTGTTTCATGTTGTTCAACTTTACCCTATTTACTATGTACTCCTCATGGACAAAGTCGCTTTCAGCTAGCTTTACTGGCCTGCTTGGAATTATTCTGCTTCATTGGCCCATCCAGCCGCCGCACGCTTGTTCTGAAGCTCTCGAATCTGCCGAGTGGGCTGGTCGCCTCTTCCGCCTACAATATAACGACCATCTGAGTAGCCAACTGCCCGCCTGGGTAATGCCTGCGGCTCTTAATGAGATCACCTGGGAGCTATCTGTGATCCTAGTTCTTAGCCTTGCTCTTGTATGGGCACTCAATCGCGAGTTCGATGTCAGTTTCAGAGTCAGCTTTAACCGGGACTCGGAGGCACGTTGCGCAAGGCTTGCCATTAGTCGTGAAAAGATTCAAGCTGAATGGTTGCTGGAAAATATCATTCCCGTCTATATCATGGATAGTCTTCGTCTAACCAACAAGTACTCTCAACATATCGACGATGCCGGAGTGGTATTTGCAACCATTTCTAACTTCTCCGAATTCTATGATGAACAGTATCAGGGTGGACAGGAGATGTTGCGTGTGCTGAATGAGATATTTGCCGACTTTGAGCACCAGCTTGTTGCCTCACCGCGTTATAAAGGCGTGGAGAAGATAAAGACTATCGGCGCTTGCTTCATGGCCGCCTCCGGTCTTAACCTTGCTGAGAGGGCACACAACCGCCGGCCGGGGACGCATCTTTGTGCTCTAATGGACTTCGCAATGAATTTGATCACCACTCTGGAAGAATTCAATCGGCAGATGTTCAGCTTCAAATTTGAGCTTAAAGTAGGTTACAACATCGGTGAAGTAACCGCCGGTGTGATCGGTACTACAAAGCTGCTCTACGACATCTGGGGCGATACAGTGAACGTAGCTAGCAGAATGTACTCCACCGGACAGAAGGGCCGTATCCAAGTTACACAAGCGGTGGCCGAAAGACTACAGCCTTGGTATGCATTCGAATATCGCGGTGAGGTCTTTGTAAAGGGCAAGGGGAACATGAAAACTTACCTGCTGGTGGGCAAGAGGCCACATCAGAGCTCCAATGCTCTGACCTCTCTTGCTGGGTCCACAGACACTAGCACTGGTCGATGAAGCTCGTATAAATACATCAATAATTATGGTATACCTGTTCTTTTATTGCTTGTCTCTTTGTTTGCCCTCAAAGTATATATGTTCCCATCGTGATATTCGCCAGAAATTATTATACACGCTCTAATATAACGGATGATTTTCGCCTCTTTCCCTCGTCTTCCATTTTGTAATACTCTTGGATTTTAATTTCAAAAATAGTTGAATGTAGTACTTGTTCCTCTTAAACATCTATCAATCTTATTTTTATAAATTTGTTCTATGCTATTCTATTTATTCTTATCTTCGCACCACTTCTCATATCTTCCCTCTTCTCCTTTTATCTCACCTCTCCTTTACTTTCCTTTCCTCACCTCTCTGCACTCATCCCTTCTCTTCTCTTCTCTCATCTCTTTTTTCTCTTATTCTCCATTCTATTATCTCCACTTGGTTTCTTTCTCGGCCCCACTCTTTCCCCCATTTTTCTTAACTTTTCTTAGCTCCATTCTACCTTATTTCGTTTATTCCATATTTACCTCATATCCTTTAGTTCCCTCATTTCTCTTATTCTTTTCATTATTTTTATTTTGTATTTTCTTGACCTCAGTGCGCGAATTCTTTTCACTGCTGCTTTCAGTATATACTACAATTTTTGTTTTGAATCCACTACTTACTTTATTCTCATCATGTATCACAAACTTATATCCATTAGCTAATTTAATTCAGCTTTGAACTATTGTTATTTCGTATTCAGACCCTTGGGGCGTGTTTTTTCAATCCACACATCTATATGCATATATGCGTATGTATAGTTATTCCATTTAGATGTGTATTGAATATTTGTCATATATTTAGGCTATTCGCTCTGTATTAATATTAGATTTGTACTGTCTTATGCCGTATTTTTTCTTAACTTTTTCCTAGTTCGAACTAATACTGTCTCTTGTATATTCTTATCATAATTTTAAGCGCCGCGTATTGATCAAACTTTTTTTAAATTGTTTATTAAGTCTTAGCTTCATTACCTCCAGCTTCTCCTTCTTTTTTGTCTGCGCTTGATTTTCTTAAACCTGGCTCTCTGATAGAGAGTTAATTTGCTTACTTTACCCCAATAGTTTCCGTATATATAGAGGGAAGGGCGGCATCATTTGCTTTATTATTAGCCTTTCCC